AACTAGGCCACGTGTAGCAAATGAATATTTGAAACATTATTGTTGGGGAAAAGGAAATTCTTATTTTATTTTATAATTGAGTTAGATTTATGTAAAAAGTTCGCATATATAATTCATTGCACTCCTTTTAAATTTTGATGTTTGAAAATTATATTTTCTCAAAGAATAAGTTTTCTGTTATCTTCTTCATGGATTGAACTATAAAACAACTGCTTAATTTGGACATTTATAGTTTTAAAATCTATTTCCAATATGAAACTATATTGAATACTAAGAAAATTGTTATCCGTGCTTAGAAAAATTAGGTCTGCAAATAGACCAAAATTTAATAGATACCTAAATAAAATGTGCAATAATGTTAAGATTACCACCACAAACGAAATCCTTAGTTTTGCGATAGGAGTTTAAATTATCCCACTGATTTTCGTTTCTTTATCAGTTCCTTTTCCCAAGTATGTTTGTGATTATTTTTGAAATAGCATATTTGCATTAACTACGATTGTTGTTGAAATGATATTTACCGAAATTCCTGTTAATTTTATATTCCAGTTATAAATAAACAATTCCATATGTAAATTAGTTAAATATCCGTTAAAAATTCGTATTTGAGATCAAATATGTAGTTAAAATATTTCCTTGGTTTCATATCTCATGAATTTATGTCGCTGTTAAAAAATTTGACTGTACGTACGTATGGCTAGCATGATATTTTGTTGGGCAACTTTGTTCTAATCAAATGTCCACGATACCACTCTTCAGAACGTTTTCAGTCTGAAAAAAACAACAGATAATGCATCGCTTTTAGGAAGAGTAATTTTAAAAATAGTCTCATGTAGCATTAAGTAACTATACGAAAAATTAATTCTTGTTCAGAAACTGACTATAACCTCATAGTCAGTTTCCTCTCTTTTTAAAATTCCATGACGGAAGCCTCATCTTTTTAAAATTCCATGACGGAAATTGATGCTGGAGTTTCTATGTTATTACAGCCTTTTAAATACTAAATTACTCCATACACTTTCAATATAATATATTCAGTGTTCATCCTTGAAATCACCAAATATGATTTCACAGCACCTTCCTTTTTTTAATATTCCATTTCCCATTCTCTTATCTTTCTTTAAACTGCGAACAAAACTTCTTGTTTTTTAAATTTTATTTTGGCAAGGGAAGTCATGATCACTGTCATGACATGTTTTTTTTTTCTTCTGCTCAACTTTAAGCTATCAGATTGTAGAGTTATTAGGTTTATTTGAAGCAGGAGACGTGAAATTGTGTAATAACCTCGCTGGGACTCGAACCCTCGATCTCTGGAATACACGTCGAGTGTTCTTCCAATTCACTACAAAGGCATGCAGAAAGAAGAGAGAAATACCTTATATACTTCCCCTTTTAAAGGGCGACTGGGATGAGGGGTTAATAGCCAAATTCTGGTGGTGACGAATTATCATCCACCACTTTTTAGTTCGGGAGCCACTTGTAAAGTCATTAGGTTTCCTTGAAGCAGGAGACGTGAAAAATGTGCAGTGCCTCTTCGGTACTCGAACGCTGGACCTGTCGATTATGCTTCCAATTACATCAAAAAGGCATACGGAAAGGATGGAAATTATACCTTAAATGATAACCACTCTGATATTTAAAATAGTTTTTATTTAGCTAACATGCTGCCCTATTTGGAACATCAACTTGTATAGCAAAAGCCAACGAAAGAATAGTTTCATTTTCTCTTGGAAATATTCAAAAGGAATTAGATGCCTTGGAGATAAGTTTAAAACCTGTAAAATTATCAACCAGTGGAGAAGACATTACGGTGGCAAAAAAAGAGAATCCGCGCGAAGAAGAAAGTTTAAAAGTAGATGCCTCAAATGCAGTGGAAAGTTATTACTTATAATTTAGAACCTAATGTCGTTTTCTTGGTCCACAGATCTCACTTTTACCAGCAAGAATTAGTATCGACCTGGAATACCTTGTTAGCTTTGGAGATCATAAAACATTTACCCACTGATGAGTTAAAAACTAATGGGAGTAAGAAATAAAATGCAAATTTTTGCGCGCATAATGTATTTTAAACTTAAGAATTAAATGCATTAAAATAATGTTCTGAATCGAACTAGTGTCTATAGATAAAGCCTTAAGATATACTGAATCATCACACATTTCTAAACACACAGGAATTTCTCTGATAGTTGTAGCTCCATTGAGCATCTTAGTAGGTGGTGAGACAATATGAGCTTACCAACAAAAGTATAACTGGCAGAGCTGGGTACCTGATTTCTCATAGTAATACACATCTTCAGTAAATTTCTCATGCTAAACTAAGAAGTAGGAAAATCCTCTGATTCATGACTGCAATCAACTTGACATTCCCTTGATCAAATTGTGTAACAGAAAACAACAGACTGCCCTCCCTTAGCTTGTGAAGTTTATTGAACAAGCTTATGCAGTGAATACTTACGACCATTGGAAACTTGAGTTGGGTTGCATACTCGTTCCTTTTTGTTTTAAACTTAACTCAACTTAAGCTTCATCGTTTTATACATCCTTCTTTGTATCTGCTAGCTGAGGGCCTCAAAGCATACGGGCTCATAACGTAAATATAGTCTAATTTTATGAGTCTAAGCAAGGTTACAACAGCATTTCACATTAAATATCACAGAAACATTTATTTATAATAATTGGCAACTCAATTTTTGATTGGCTCTGCCTTCTGGAAAGTTTATCAGTGTTACTATGGCTTAATGAATATTTGTGAATACAAAGCATAGATAAAATTATGAATTTCTTCTATTTATATTAGACATAAAAGATCGCGTTATTTTAAATTTAATTAACTTGTTGCCATTTAGTCTTATCGGGATAATCTAACTCTCACATTCTCTGTCATCCACAATGGAATAGATCTAATAGCCACTCCTAGTTTCTTTGCGAATTATCGTTTAGATATCGCTCCTAGTTTCTTTGCGAATTATCGTAACTAGAGCAACTAAATAATAAGAAATAAAATATTATTAAAACAAAAAAAGTTTCTAATTAAACTAAAAATAAGTTCGTGTCACAAAACTTTAAGGGTTGACTCACTGTCGAGAAAATACACCATTTACTTGCAGCTTCTAAGTATTCACAGCCTAGCTTAGCTGCTTATACAGCTTATAAAGGGTGTCCCAAAATTAACGCAAGATTTGAATTTATCATCATTCGTGCAGTAAAGTGTTGGCAACCTTATTAAAAAACATTTGACAGCTGATAGTTTAGGGTTAGCAGAAAAGAAACATTACGCAATAGAACAACGTGTTTCTATTGTTGAAAAATATTTCAAAAATAATTAAAGTATGGCGGCCACAGTTCTAAAATTTCGATGAAGCCCGTTTTCACCTTTATGGCTTTGTTAATCGTTAAAATTGCTGCGTTTGCGTTTCAGAGAACCCACATGTGATTGTCGAAAAACAAATGCATCCTCAACGTGTCACTGTTTGGAGCGGAATTTGGGCAGGAGGCATCATTGGACTACTAAGCTGGTCAAGCAGTGAGTGTTGCTGGTGCTCGATATCGCAACATGATAACATAGTTTTTTGCCTAAATTGCATAATAATGATGTGGACGACTTGTGGTTTCAAGAAGACGGTGCCACATGCCATACAGCCCGTGAAACAATTCAATTTTACAGCATAAAGATATTTCCTGGCCGTGTACTCTCTCCTTTCGGTGATAAGAATAATCGGTGCCCCAGATAGTGTGATTTAACACCATTGGATTTCTTTTTATGGGGTTATCTGAAGTCAAACGTCTATGGCAACAAGCCCACAGGTACGCGTGAAGGAGGAAATTCAAGGCAGCATCAACGAAATTCAGCCACGTTTAAGCAAAATGGGCATGGAGAATTTCGACAAAAGAGTGCGTATGTGACAGCAAAGCCGTGGAGGCCATTTGCCCTATGTATTATTCCATACATAACCCTGTCCTGTGTACTTCGCGATTCAATAAAAAAATAACAATTTAAAGGGAAAAAACATGTTTTTTTATTTAATCCAAATCTTGCATTAATTTTGGGACACCCTTTACTACTGTGCTTACCTGCTTATACTACCTGAATTTCGTATGAATTATGGTAACATCTGCTCAGCGTGAGATTTTAGAGTCGTGGCCGGCAACAAAACAGTAACAAAACTACCTATTAACAATAAGGACCAAATTTTGTCAACACTCAGCGATCTCTTATGATACAAGAGTTCGAGCTCAGAAAAAGCACAGTATTTTCACCTAACTGGGATTCGAGTAAATTTTTGAAATTATTGGGTTATTATAAAGGGAAATGAGAAAAAAAAGAACAGTATACAGATTTTAAAACTTAACTTCTAGGAAATATATCTGTCACACCAACTACTGATCTGAGATTAGAGATCTTATTCTTATATTATTTTCTTTAAGCAGAAACAACTCAGTTTACTTAGGTGCATTATTTACTTTGCCCTTCCATTATTGCAGCAATCATGTAGCAATAAAAAGATACTGGAACTATCGAAAAGATCCCCTTACCAGTTGCTATGAATTACATGTTTTGTTAACATTCATAATCCAGTATAATTCATATGAGCAAATTTAATACTTACAGTTATATTAAATACTTGCATCGACTGCGTATGATTTAATATCCGCAAGCGTGAGTAATGATAACTGAAATTATGCTATTTTCTTCTTGCTCATATTATTATTTGACATTTAAGTTGTTCGTTATAAGTTAAAAATGTAATTAATGTGGGGTAAAATATTGCTTCTGCTGAACATGCGGTATTATTTAGATTCCGTTAATAATTTTTCTTTTCATTATACATGTTCTTATAAAAATTACTGAAAATATAAATTCGATATTCATAGTCATGGCAAATAACAGAGGGTGTCTAGTCGTTATATATTATAAATATAATATTAGGAAAATTCTTGAATAAATTATACCGGATTAAATAAAATGAATGTCTAATTGTTGTTCTATATTCTTGCAATAGCTGTAAATCAAATTCAAGGACGATCGGGAGGATCCTTAGACGATGAGGAGACTACTGTAACTTCAGATAAGAAAACCACCATTGCGCAACCGTCAGCATCTGATACCACTACACCTGGTAGTCCTACAGAAAATACTACTGCAAGCAGCCAGCTTGCAGAAAATACTACTGCAAGTAGCAAGCATGCTGAAACTACATTGGGTACAACTACTAAACCAAATGAAAATGTATTGAATCCTACAACAGTCAAAAAAGAAAAACAGGATTCAACTACAGCTAATGTATCAACAACAATAACTCCTAGTACCACCTTACAACCATCTAAAAATGAAAAACACACAACTATCATTCAGCAAGTTGCAAAAGAAAAACAAGATCCTACCACACCAAAACAAACAACTTTTATAGCATCAACACAGACAGAACCAGTCACAACACAAAAGGCAACGAAGCTTGACTCTCCTGCCACGACGCCTTCAAAGGCAAACAATGACACTAAAAACTGTCAAAAGACATCGGCCAGCATGGCTGATACAACTGCTATTTCAACAATAAGTACAATCACACAACAAAGCAGTTTAAAAAATTCTACAAAGTTATGATGCAAAATAAGAACTATTCAACCGCTTCAGGCGTAATATACTCCATTTATGGAAGTTAAATTAAAAATAATTAATTCATTTAGGAGGAAAAAGGCAAGGTATTGTATTTTTTAACGATTTTAAAAGCATTTTTGATAGCAGTAATAAGCATTTTTCAAAAAAAGCGAAACAAATTCTAGATTTATTAAAATATAGTAATGGACTTATCTACAAAAATGTTAAATATTGTAACTGTAGACGAGCGGAGCTTGGAATATACTATTTAAATTAAGAAACTTATGCTTGAATTGGTTGAGTAGAAAATTTGGTACTAAAATATGAGATAATTTTATTAATTGCAAAGCAGCTTCGTCTTATTTTCGTTTTTATATAATCAAAATAGTATGCAAAATTAGTCATTGCAGTACGAATTCGAATAAAACGTATCCAAAGGCTTTGGGTGTTTACTTTTTCAGTCTTTGCATGTCAAGCTTCATATAAATTATAATATTGATCTCTAAAACAGACTACTCCCCAGAACAAAATTACTTTATCCAATTGTAACAATAGAAAAATTTTGTAAAATTGTGTGTAATTTTAGTTTTGGGTTCTTTAGAGTTGCAAAATTACTAACGATTTACAAAAAGGATAAATTTGCCATTTTTATGAGGAAATGAATTTTAATTTATGACCTAAAATATTATACACTTCAAATTGGAATTGAGTGGATTCGATTTGGTTGAATTAAACTTGATTTATTTTTGAAGACATTTACCAAAATGTTTTAAAATACAAAATGTAAAAATTTAATGTTAGATGTTTATTATCAGGCTTTTCTTGCAATTTGAAATATGTGTGATTTTCAAATAAAAATTTAATATTTATACTATTATAGTAAGTTTCCTTATTGTTCTACTTTAGTGGCATGATTTGTTTATTAATTTGTTTCTGTCTGCTTTAAATGCACAATTCATGTGTTATTTATTTTCATCACTGTATTAATCGGTTTGCTATGATATCAAGAAAGTGTAGAAGAAGAAACCGTGTAAAAATAAAGAGTATTTAAATAATCTGTCGTTATCTTCAAGTAATTGAAATGACATTTTTAAGTCTTTACTTTGATTCTAAGCATTCTTAGAACTACAGACAGTAAGTGTGATTAAGCAGTTTCACACTTATTGTGTGTAGTTTTTCTTAATGACTTAAAGCTATTGTCTTAAATTGGCGGCCCAGTTTTTCTCGGCCTGTGAATATCCTTCCTGTAAATTAATTCGCATTATTATGACAAGAATTTGAAGAGAGGTTTACAGTTTTAATGATTTGAAGTGCAATTTCGCATTTTTTTTATTATCATTAAAAACGAATTTGAGTCTACAGAAAATCTACACACAAGCCAATTAATTTGCACTATGATGTATACACTGGTCATCAAAATTAAAGGATGATGAGAAAATATATGCTCACTAAAGCTTAATATTGCAATCAGTGCCCAATGTTGTAATTATTTATGTTAATTAAATACAATTGAACACAAAATTGCACATCCGCTCATACGTTAGTGCCAGAAATATGCAAATTCGGTCATTGACAATGTAGTGCGCAACGGACGCATGATGGAATTCTGGTTTGTAGCGTTGTTTAGAGTGAATGTGGTTTCTGAGAGTGATCAGTGTTCAGTAGTTATGACTCAAAGGCATCATTTAAGTGAAGATCGAAAGTGGCAAATGATTGGTAGAATAGAGAAAAGTCAAACACAAATGGAGGTCGCTCAAGATTTGGATATCCCTCGAAGTGTCATATCAAGAGTTTTTAACCGCTTTTTAAGCGATGGATCAGTTGGTAGACAGCCTGGGCAACCAAGAGCAAGAACTGCATCAGAAAAACGTTTTCTGTCGTTGTCGGCTCGAAGAAGCCGCGAAGCGGCTGTAAATATTTAGTTTTAAACTTCCAGGCTGTCACAGGAACACGAATTAGCCGTTCTAATGCTGCACGAAGACTTAACAAAGTTGCCTGTATGCAAGAAAATCAACTCACTCCAGCTTCCAGAGAGGCCCGTTTAAACTGTTGCCCTCGTCATGTTCAATGGAGCCAAGACGACTAGGCCCTAGTACTGTTTACTGAGGAGTTTAGATGTACTCTGAACAGTTATTCTAGACGTGTTTTCATCTTGAGAGGAACACGAAACTTGCCATAAAATATCCCGTTTCCGCAGCCGCAATTTAATGGTTTGAGGAGAAATCATGACAAATGGCCTCACCAAGCTGCATATCTTTCAAGGAGGTTCTGTAACCACTCGGAGATATATGTGATATATGTGGGCACCTCATGTTAGACTGTTAAGGGGTGCTGCTGGCCGAGATTGTTTGCTAGTGAATGACAATTCTCGTCCTCAGGCGCCGAATTCCTCCCCAAAACCTTCAGGAGCTGAAAAGTGCACTTTTAGAAGTGCAATTCCACAAGACTTGATCATCACTTTGGTGAAGTCTTTGAAATCAAGAAGTGAGGTATACATATCCGTCCCAGGTAATCATACACCATATTAAAGAAAAAAAAATTCCACAAAAGGTGACTTAATTTTTCCATCATTTTCCAATTTCCATAAATTTGGTTTTAATTTCAATATTTTGCGAATAATAAAGTATTAGCCGAACATTGTAATTTATGCTATTTAATACTTTTGTACAAATTTCTATCAATAATTTTTCATTAAGTGTCAGTTACGTTTTATTCTGTCATTATCCTTTGATTTTGATGACCAATGTATCTTATTTAAATATTTGAAGATACAAATTTGAGTAATAATTTTTCGTACTTATCAAAAGATACGAGCCCTTAGTTGCGAAATTTTGAAGTAAAAATTATATGCTTTGTATAAAAATGCATTTGTATGTGAGGGTTATTTTTTTTTCAGCAATTGAAAATTAAAAAGTATAAAAAAAAAGAAAAAAGAAAAGACCGACTGATAAACATGTTACAAACTTTATCAAAATCAAAAAGTCATGCAGCTGAAATTCGTTAAAAAAAAAAAAAAAAAAAAAAAAAAAAAAAAAAAACTTTGTAATTATTTACATGCAAATATATATATTTTTGCTGCATGCGTCTAAGAAAAATTGAATGAGTAGTAAAAGAAAGATAACAGGTTGTTATTATTTATTCTCAAGTTTTGTTCGGCTTGAAAAATTTTCGTAATTTGTTTACTTTTAATATAAGTAAGTTATTTTCGGATAAATTCAACATATCAGAATTATTTGAAATAAATGCCGGTCTGAAATTTAATATTTTGCTATTGTCAAGTGCAATATAACCTTAAGAATTATTAACTGTAACTAAGAGAAATTTCTTGTTGATACTTGTATACACTTCGATGTCGATTTCAGACAGAAAACAACTGCAAATTGGAATTTTTTCCTTTACATTATAGAGTCTCGTGTTCTTTGGTAATATCAAATGTACGAGAACTCTTAAGACTAAAAGCGAATTATCGCTATGTCTTGTAAGTACCACAAAGACAGGAAAAAGGTATAGAGGACCTTTTCATTTGACTCAATTAAAAGTTAACAAACGGCCCAATCGTGCTTACAGAAGCCAATAATTTTTGCCTAGACCAAAATAATGGATTAACTAAAACTAAAAAATATAAATTAGCCTAACGGCTGCACAATTAGAATAACGCGCAAACTGTGACCTAGGGTGGGAGTAACAGGCGTAATGGGGTGAATAACGCAACACCACAGAATACTACTCGCAAGGAAATCAATTTAGCAACGTGGTCTTCAGCAGGCAAAACATGCTGTAATTGTACCCTCTAAAACTTTCCTTTAAATATTCTGGGGCCCACCAGCGGCCGAGCGGTAAAGTCGCTGAACACTGGTAGTTCGGTCCGAGGTTCGAATCCCGCGAACGGGCTGGCTGCATGGGCGTTTTCGTGGTTTTCCCCATTTGTAACGAGTGTATACGAGCCAGTTTCCCTTAGAAAGTCCTCCATGAAGGCATCCCTCCCCTTAGGCAGATAGCCCTCGAGGCTTTGCCATAATCACACACACACATTTAAATATTCTCTTCTTTCTGCCTTGTTTGAATGCCGCGTGAGCTAGAAATTTACATTCTGGCAGGAAAATGGAAATGAGGGAGATAGGAAATTAGTTTAACCTAAAATAACTGGTTAGAGACCTTATAGCTTCATTATTATTCCTGTTTATGTATGTTTTGACAGCTATTTAGTAAATAAAATTTGAAATTTAGTTACAAATTTTTTTTGTTAAAAACAAAGCTTTTAATTTTGGTAAAAACAAATTCCAGCCCATCAGCTTCTTTCAAATCGTGCATTTGGTCCGCATGCAATTTGAGTTTGAGACCGTTAACTTGAAACACTCTCACTATTTTACTTCGGGTTACTTCACTATTTTTTCGAACTTCCGATAAACATTTAAATCTCAAGTGCAGAGGCAAGATGAAATCCAATTGATAGTACTTATGTAAATTGTTAAGCTAATATTTATATAATTAAGACACAATAGCACGCCGAGCAAATACTATTTAGAAGTCAAACAAGAAAAGTGAGCGTTTTCAAATTTTCACAGGACTAGTTTCGATGGTTTTACCGAACCATCATCCTCAGCTGCAAAAGTGCAAATGAACGAGATAGGATAAAATTATTAAATAAGATAAGAAAGCCTGGACAGGAGATAATTTAGTGGCGCCATCTGTAGATGGAACCAGAACTAAAACGTAATTTCTTTAAAGGCCGGAGGCAAAGATGGATTGGAATTAGGATCGTTAACTAGAATAGAAAGATTTTTTTTTTGAATGTGAAATGCCTTCAGAAAATCCAGTTCTCCAATGGAAGATGTTTTTTGAATAATTTTGGCACCAGAAAAATTGAAAGTGTGATTTTCGGACCAAAAATTTTGGGCAACAGAAGACTTCTGTGTTTCCTTTTTTCTAACATATACCTCATGTTCCTTGACGCGAAATTTTAAGGCTCTCTTACTTTGGCCAATGTAAATTAAACCACACTGGCAAGGAATCCTATAACTACCCCAGGAATTCATATCCGGAATGGGGTCCTTGAGTATTAGACTCGGAATTTTATTGATGGGAGAGTAAACGACCGAAAGTTAAATTTCTGCAAAATATGTGCAACTTTATAGCTAATTGATGGAAAGAAGGGAAGGACAACAGAATTTTTATAATCTCCTAAAATAAGAGTGTGCCTTTTTAGTGTGTTGAGAGATGAGAATTTTTTAACTGCTTGATTAATAATGTTGGGTGAAAAGCCCCTGTCAATAGCTATTGCTTTTAAATAATTTAGGTCTTCATCAAGGGATAGTTTGGAGGAGCAAACTTGAAGAGCACGGAAAACATAGGAATAAAATGAAGCTAACTTTTGTTTAGTCGGATGACATGATTTAAAGTGTGGTGGAAGGCAAACCGATGAAGGTTTACGGTAAACCGTAGTACTGAAGTTGGATGTGTTACGTGTGACCAGAATGTCGAGAAACGGAAGAGAATTGCAAGTCTCAAGTTCAAAAGTGAACTGAATAGCAGGGTCAATAGAATTCATTGTTGAAAGAACTTTATTTAAATCATCTTTATTACCTTCAAACAGGGTAAAAGTATCGTCTACGTAGCGGAACCATGCCGGGAAGTTTAAAGTTTCAAACAATTTTTGATTCCTAATAATGCATGTAGATATCAGCCAGGATGGGACTGAGGGGCTTCCCATGGCTAATCCCTCAGTTTGCTTGTAATATTTATTTTGGAAAACAAAATGTGTTTGTTTCAAACAGAGTTGAGTGAGAGAAATTAGCTCATCAATTTCGATGCAAGAGAAATGAAATTCGCAAAGTCTGGTTTCTAGACATCTTAATACACCCTCCACTGGGACATTGGTGAATAATGATTTTACATCAAAAGAAACCATGAATAAATTACTAGGAGAAATGTTTTTAACCTTTTTTACAAAATCTATTGAATTTTTTATGGTGTAAATGTTATTGTTTAATAGAGTTGAAAATCTAGAAACTACATATTTAGCTAATGGATAC